TCATGTTATCTGATACCTCCAGCTTCTTCTGAATTCTGTTCCTTCCAACCCATAGAGAAATGCCTTAACTTCTACCAGGTATGGAGAGTTGACTCACTGAATTCAGGCTGTTATACAGCCTCATTGTAGATCAGTTTTGGGTTTTTCGTTTGTTTTTCTGGCACTGGGCATCCAATCACTGAGCTACACCCCCAGCCCTTTCTTTGTTGTTGTTGTGTGTCTTGCTTTTGAGACAGGGTCTTGGTTAGATGCTCAGGGTGGCCTTCAATTGCAAGCCTTTTGCCTCAGCCTCCCAAGTGGCTGGGATCAGTCATGCACCACCATTCCTGGCCTATAGATCAGTTTTAATGATTTTAGCAATGGAAATGCAGTTCCGACCTTCTAATTCCACTCAGACCCTGACGAGGTTCCGTTTCATTAAATATGAGAAGCTTCTAAATAAACTACACTTTACATTACTTAAACTTACTTCTGACTCAGGTTCATCTAGACTGCCTTTGATCCATGGCTTTAGTGCCATGCACTTTGATCTGATGTCTGTGATAGGAACCGCTGCAGTGGGGACAGAGTGCGAGAATTCTACTAAAGTCCAGACTACTTTCACTGCTGCCTCTCCTGCTGCATGCTAGCACATGGAATTTTGTGTCCTAGGAAGCTATTTATTTTTCCAAACTGATTAATGAATCACGAACAAATCTTCATTAACCAAATACTTGTTAGTTTTTCTATGAGAATTATCAAAACTGTCAAGTTAAGTGAAAATTGACTATTTATGATCAATAGGAAAAGCCCAAGAGGATTTTGGGGATTAATTCAGTTCAGGAAAGTGCCACCATGAAGCTTGTAATAGAAGAGCCCAGAATATCAGTCTGTGCATTGCTGGGAGAGCCCCGAGCAGACACCTGAGGTGTGTACCAAAAGCAACACCGCCCATGAGCCCCTGTGTACCTTCAGCCTGGTCTTCACAGGCTGTATTAGGATGGTTGAATGCATGGCCTGGCTTTACCTAAGGCTTGCTTACATCTCATTTACTTGGGTAACCATGTGCCTGAGTGGAGTTGCTGATGTTCATTGTGGCCGAGCGTCTGTTGGGTTGAATTGCTTATAAAATGTAATGATCTTTGTATACTCTGTTTTTCAAAATTAGAAACCATCTCAGAAAGCTCAAATTGATGGGATAGCTTTAGCAGAGCCTGATGCAGGGCAGGATTCATGAGTTAATTAGAAACATCTATGAGTTTTCATCTCATGTTGGCTGAAGATAATACCCTATATGTGACCTTCATGCAGAATTTGTGTCAGAAACACAAGGCCCGTGGATATAACCGTAGAAAGTCTGGGGCAGACCCGCCCCCTACCAGGGCTCTGATGCATGTACAGGACAACTACCTCATCTCACAGCTGAGAAACATCTTCAATATGTAAACCAGTAAAAGTTGATTAGAAACAGGATGTGACCTGGCTGTCATTGGCACCATCTGCATTCAGAGTGCAAGTCTCTCAAAAGTACATTTAGAAACCTCTGGTCAAAATGGAGGGATGAGTTTGTACTACGCAGCATCCTTTCTCCAGCTATCAATTAGTGACAAATGCAATATGACAAGAGACTTCTAAAGAAACAGGCCAGGCTCAGACATGAGGCAGATAACTGTGCCGCAGAAGCAGAATAGAAATACCAGGTGGGAGGCAGCTTACAGGCTGTAGGTCCCAAAGCTGGCAGTGGGGTCATAGAGTTCATTCCCGTGGGGTCAGGGAGGCCACATGTCCCACTGATTCAGGGGTCAGCACCTGGTCTGCTGCTTGAAATGGGGGAGGAAAGGAGTGCTCCTCCTTTGCAGTCTTCATCCATCAAAAAAAGCTGAAATGCCTCTGCTGACCTGCCTTAGCCTGGGCTTCATGACCAGGTGTGGACAGAGAGAAGCACAGGGACAACAAGCTTGTGATGTGGGAGTGCACCCCACTGACTGGTGGCCCAGGAACTGCATGCACCCTCAAATAGCTGCCTGATAGGACCCAGCAGGCAGCTATGAAACTTAATATGGATTGAGTCTTTTCACTCTCAATGAGCCTGAAAATTCAGATTTCAAACACATGAATAAATCTCATGCTAAAAAACAACCAAAACTCAACTACTATAATTGGATTATCTATCTATCTATCTATCTATCTATCTATCTATCTATCTATCTATATAAATCTATATATGTAGATATAGATATCCAGGATATCCATGTTCATGAAATGTAAACAAGCCTAGGGTAAAGTCAGTGAAATGAATTTTTTAAACATTTGATAAAGACTTTGAGATATGTATATTTAGGGCCTACAAGAACATAAATGTAGCAAATTTTTATTTAAAAAAAATCAAGAAACTATGAAGCAAAAATAGGTAGAAAGAGCATGGTGCATATCTGTAATTTTACCTATTAGTAGGGAAGCTGAGGCAGGAGGACCTGAAGCTCCAAGTCAGTTTGGGCAACTTATATCTTGTCTCAAAAAAAAAAAAAGCAGAAATATAAGTGATCAAGTAGCTAAGAAGAAGCAATTAGAAATTTTAAAAATTCAACATATAGACATTGACATTTAAAATTCCAATAGTTTATATAAACTCTATACTTGACATAGGTAATGAAAAGATTAATAAACTAAAAGTAATACTTAGGATTCTACCGAGAGTATAGCATAAAGAGATGAGAAACTTTGCAGAAGCATCATCCTTAGAGTTAAAACATTAGAGTATTTCCAATAAAGTAAAAATTTGATTCCCTCTTCTACCTCTTCCAGTTGGTATGATACTGTAAGTTATTATCAATGCAATGATCAGAAAAAGAAATGAGTTTTGTGAATTGGAAAAGTAAATAGGAAAGAGTCTTATGGTTTTTCCATATCATGTGATACTCTACATGAAAAAATCCACGAAAATCTGTGAAGATGAATTCCCACAACCCATCGGAGACTTCAGCATGGTTTTAGATCAACACCCAGATATAGGCACCATTGCAATACACTGGTAATGAATTATAAAAGGGGAAAAATCCCACTTCCAATAGCAATAGAAGTTAAAAGATACTTTTGCTGTGGTATAAATGTTTGCATCCTCAAAGGTTCAGATGTTGTAATCTAATCCCCAAGGTGAGGTATTAGGAAGTGTGCCTTTGGGATGTAATTAGGCCATGACAGCTGACCAGGGGAGCATGAATGAGATGGATGTTACAAAACAGGCCTGGGAGCGCTTCCTGGTTGCTGTCCCCACATGAGAACATTTAGAAGATGGCCATCTAGGATGCAGGAAACAGACCCTCACCAGGCACTGTGACCCTGCTAACATCGCCATCTTGGACATATCCCAGCCTCTGGAATTAAAAGAAGTGAATTTCTCTTATTCATAAAACACCTGGCTTATGGGTTTCTGTTACTGCAGCCCAACGAACTAAGACACCCATGGGGTAAAATCTAATCAAAATGTGCAAGTTCAATGTGAAGAAACTTTAAAATTTTGGTCAAAACATATAACATTAAATCTGACTAAATCAGAGACAAGCTGTGTTCATAAGTTTGGAACAGATTTAGTTCTTTTCAAAATAGAGATTGATAGCCCTGACTCCTTTAAAATTAAACATTTCAGCCAGACATCATAAATAAGTCAAAAGGTGAATTGGATTGGAAGAGACATTTTCAAGGCAATATAATACATAAAAACTAATATGAGAATTTACAAATGAGTAATTGACCCAGCCAGCCCAATAGAAAAATGAACACAGGATATGCACTGGCAGTTCTTAGAGGAGATAATTTAAATGGGTACACAATAATAGAAGCTCAACTGCAAAGAATAAAAGATTATAATAGCATGAGATACTATGTCACTTCCATCAGGTTGAGAGCAATGAAAATGTCTGAAAACCCTAAATGTTCTAAAGCAGAGGAAACTCTCCTGTGCTGCTAGCAGAAGCAAAAGCTTGTAAAGACCAGCCAGGTGGCAGAAAGGTCATGGTGGGATGGGGTGGGCCATGAGAATTCAGGAGTTGTGAGTAGAGAGGCCTGGAGTTGAAGATGAAGCTGACTGGTGGCCAGCAGAAATGAGCCAAGGTGCAGAGAAAGACAAAGATGCAGGGCATGGCTTGTGAATGCTCCTGAAAGGGAACCAGATAACCTGCACCAGTGGCAATGTAGGAGCCAAGCAACCACCGCAGAGCTCTGCTGCCTCCAGGCCTGGCTCTTCCCACAATCTCCAGCTTACCTGGGGCTTGACCTGGTGGAAGGAGGCATATTATGGGGAACATGGGGTGCTTGAGAAATGCACCTCTGCCCCAGTTCCTCTGCTGCTTTACATGATAGCTGCAAACTTGCTTGGAAGTCAGCTTTGTCTTAGAGTGCCAGAGCGTTTATGAATACCAGACCCCTCTGTGCTCACTCATGACTGTTGGACTTCTGACTGAACAGTCTGTAGTATATTTCAATCCAACACAATTCAAAGCACCATTTCTTCAACACTGTCTGGTGCCAGGCTGTGAAGGCCGAGGGCTCTCCAGGCTTTCTGTTAGGCCATCTATTTAGTGTTTCCCAGGTTCCTGAGACCTCTAGTGTAGTTGAATTGCTTCTTTCCCATGTACTCTGAGTCAGCAAGATCAACCCAGTGGCACTCACAGGGGAGAAAGAGCAAGGGTGCTGCAGGTGTGGATGCCAAGAACAGTCAACCTCGGGCACATCAGGTTTTACCAATAACTAGCCATGCCACCCTTGTGCAAAACACTTACGTTCTCTTGTGCCTCAGTTTCCTCTTCTGTAAGTGGGGATAATCATAACATACCTTACAGAATCAAAACAATTAATACATGAGAAATGTGTGTAGGACAGTCCTGGCACACAAGAAGTGCTAGATTGACTTTGGCTGTCATCATTGTAATTTGTTACACAAATTGGACCCCTGTTTCCTGCTACTAAAAGATTTAGTTATGAAGAAAAATAATACACCTCATTTTTGTTTGTTTATCTTGCAGCAAAACTTACATTATTCCTTTGCGGTGCAGCTGCCCTGTGGATTTCGAATTCCAGGTCTCTTTGATTCAGTCTCACCAAGCCTTCGTTATTGAGCCAACATCAGGTATGGAGAATCAATGTTTCTTTTTTTATTTTTAATTTTATTTTAAAAAGGGTAAAACTAAATATAACAAAACAGAACAAAGCAGATCAGAAGAAAACAATGTACACGACACAGATTTCAAAGCAAGACAACAGGAGATCTACAGTGGCTACCATAATGTCTCTTGTTTTCTTCTAAAGAATTGTCTATATCTTCACACACAATGAATTCATATAAAACAAAATAGCATAAAACTCATCAGAACAGAGTAATGAAGGCATTACAGGCCTTCATAACCAGACACTAGGAAAATCAACAATGGCTACCGTAGTGTCTCTTGTTCTCTTCAAAAAGCTGTCTGTACCTTCATGTGTGTTGAAATTATACAATACAAAACAGACTAAAACCACTCTGAACAAAGAATGGAAGCATTACTGGCTTACACATCATGATGATATGGAATCAGCAATGGCTACCATAATGTCTACTTTTCTTCAAAGTAGCTGTTCATTTCATCACACATAATATAATTGATTCCCATAAACTGTTTAGGAGAAGTTCTAGGCATGTATAAGCCTCTACATGAATACCTATCCTTTGAGCATTAGAGCGGAAAAACAAAACAAAACAGGTTACTAGAAAAATAAGAAACAAAAAAGACAAATAAATAGCAATAGCAAAGAACCCAAAACAATGATGAGATAGGATTTCAAAACAAGGTGGCAGGAAGCAACCAGCTCGCTTCTCTGGTAAGCAGTAGTGAGCCTACTGGTGCATGGGGCTGAGAATCAAACATCCCACCTCCCCCGACCCCGTTAGCAAATGGGAGCCAGAGATCTGAGCATCTCTTGGGAGGGCGACATATGCAATATAGCAAATAAGAAGGATTTCCTTCTACCATCTCTTTGTAGGCAAATATGTTTACCACTGTTTTGCTTTATTCTGATTAATGGTATTGCTCTATTCAATATTCTATTTTTTTAAAATTTTATTTAAGGAGAAAAAAAAACCGAAAAAAGGGTACAAGTTATACAGAATTTCAGGAAAAATAAACAGTAGGAAATCACTAGTTAATAGATTACATATTGTTATCTTAGAAATAGTTGTTCAAGTTACAAAATTAAAGCATATAAAGTGGACTTTCAAACAGTGAGACTGCAAACAGTTTTGTTCAACGATCCAAAAAAACTCAGTAATATGGTTACCTATCTTATGCGCTTAAATATATATGCAGTTGTATCCATTAGAGCACTTTCTCTTCCTTTCTTTTGTACAATGACAAGTACACATTTTGGGTTTTATTACTCCCACAGTTCTTATTACTTTTTTTTGAAGAGAGTAAAACCAAATGTGACATAACAGAACAGAGTCAGTCAAATCAAAAGGATGGACATAATAGATAATGTAAAAACAAAATACTATCAATATTCTATTTTGATAATTTCTATAATGTTCTGTATTTTGTTTTATTTTTCTATATCTGACTGAAAGAACAACTATTGTGCAGACAGAGAGATATACTGTGATACCTATTACTGTTATCCCAAGTAACCTGCTGTGAAGTTCTGTACCATTTTCACTACACTATCGAAATTGTCTTTGTTCTGTCTTGTTCTGTTATGTTTTACTACCTTCAAAATAATAAAAAAATTTTTTTAAAAAAACAAAGTGGTAGGAACAGAACTAAGGTTGATATTTTGCATAGTGATCTTCAAGAGTTCCTCAGATCAACAGACACAAACATGCAAAATTGTTCCAGTCCTATGAATGTTATCTGCTTTGTTCTACGAACTTATAGAATTTGTAGCACAGTCATCTTAGCTATCCTAAGTGTGTTGATATTAATTTAGATATTTTTTCTTTTTCCTCCTTTTCCCTGAGATATTATTTTCCCCACTTTGAGCAGATTCTTACCCTTTCACTGTATTTATTGAAGATTTTGTATCTTATGTACTTTTACCATTTCTTATACTAGGGAGATAATACAGTATTTACACATATGAGTTTGATTTATTTCAATTTGAATATGGTCTCAAGTTGTATCCACTTACTTATAAATATTTCAATGTGCTCATTCTTTATAGCTGAGTAGTACTCCATGTATAAAAATACCACATCTTTTTTATGCATTACTCAGTCGATGGGCATTTTAGGTTGTTTCCAAGATCTGGCTATTACAAATTGTGCTACTATAAACATAAGTGCACATATATCACTGTCATGTGATGTTTTCAATTCTTCTGGGAATATGCTCAGAAGTGGAATAGCTGGGCCAAATAGGAGTCGATGTTTCTGTTTCCAGTTTCCCTGAAGTTCTCAGACAAAGGCTGGACTTGGAAAGTAGGTCTCAAGTTAAACCATATTTGAAGGTATTATCCTATTTTCAAATGTGTAGTAGCAGCAACAAATTTTAGGTATCTGCCATACTGTAAATTTGAATTACACACAGGAATAAGGGCACTTTTGAATAATTTGCAGATGATTAATAATGTCCAGGTACATGAGCCTTCAAACAATTAGTCTAATTCTAACTTTGGTTCTTGTAATCATTGGTTTTATGTTGTTTTTTGAGATAGGGTCTTGCCATGTAATCTAGGCTGCCCTCAAACTCACAATGATTCTTCTGCCTTGGTCTCCCAAGTACTGGGATTACAGGTGTGTGCTGCCAAACCTACCCTTTAATTATTGGTTTTGTGTACACTTTTTAATTCAATTTTAAATAAAGTGACAATATGGTTTCTTCAGAAGCTTTCAGCATCTCACTGATGGGTGTAATGAATCTTTCTGTGTAGTGTGAACACAGTCTTTACCTGCTCAAACACTGAAAGTCCCTATGCTTTGAAAAGGGGATCTCCTACATTTGAAAGTAAAACTTAGCACCAGAAGTGATTTCTATTTCCCATTTTCTCCCGCTTTATATTTAAATGTTTGTCCATAGTGCCCTGCTGTGAATGCTAAAATAGTTTATTTTGGTAAGTCCAGGTACGCATTTGTAAACAACTTTTTCATAATTGCAAGTGAATATTTTGACCAATGAATGAATGTTCAAAACAAAAACATTGAATTAATTCTAAATTTTGAAATGCTTTAGATTATTTTCTGTAGAAATAAGAAACATTCTAAAATTTTAAAAATACAAGGTAACAATGGTTTATGTTGGATAAAATAAGATTTAATTCTCTTTTTGGAAAGAAAAGGCCTATTATTTTTAGCTGTTTGGGCCTTAGAAAGGAAAATAAATTGTTTCTAAAGTCATTCTAAATAAGATGAAATTTTAGCTACATGTGTATAATTTATATTCTCAAAATAAGCCTTTTGTTGGAACACGTTCTATGTTGAGGTTGCTGAATGCTAGGCACTATTCTAAGAGAGCAGTACGTATTCATCAACTGTACTACTGCCATGTTGGGTCAGTAGTGCTATTTCCATTTCCTAGACACAAGAATGAGGCACCAAAAGATTACATACCTTGACCTGTGCTACTGGATAGTAGGTGACAGAGATAAGATTTGAACTACTCAGTCTGGCTCCAAAGTCTGTGCTGCTTTGTAAAGTACAAGTTGACTTTTCATCTGAAGAAGTTACAAAAAATTTGCCTTAGAAGATATGTCAGCAAAGTGAGACAGTGCCTTGTTCTTGGTTTAGACGACTTAGAGAAGTGTAGATCTTAGCAAGAAAGAGGAAATCCTGCTGCCCACCCTGGGCCTCCAAGTCATTGGAGCTCTGAGCAACACACTCAAGTGCTGATAAAGGACATCAAAGTCACACCAAGTAGCTTGTTCAACACTGCCAATGACTTGTGGGAATGGGGCAGACGGGGAGTCAAACACCAGATAAGAGATTAGATCAGATCATTGGCGCCAGAATGTTGATCACAAACCCCAGGAACTTTTCACTGGTAGAAAGGGTTCAGTGTGTCTGGAAAAGGCCTGGTTTTCTGTACTTTTCATAAGCCTCGGCCTGTGTGTGGTTGTGATTGTGACATTCCTAGAGTGGTGTCAAGAATCATTGAGCTGGTTTGATCTGTAGGTCCTGCCCTACCTGATGGGCTATAATTTTTTATTAAATTCCAGAGGTAGAAGCAAGGACTTGGATTTCTGAGCAACTGTGATGAGAGCTGGTTTGTAGACAGGCCAGGATGTCCACAGTGCACAGATAGAATGAGTTGGGAATGGCCAAGAAGAAAGGAAATTTTGGTGCCAGGACAAAATAATGTGGCTCTCTAGGGCCTAAATGGAGCTGATGTCAGGAAAATGGAAAAAAATTGAACAGCTGACTGCTTTGCCAAACGTCTCTAAAAATCTGTGTCCTGAGGCAAAGAATATTAAATTACCCAGGAGTTCTGATTTATAACCAATTCAAAACCTAGGGATTGCAAAAATAAAAACAATAGTGTTTGAGTAGAGTTCATTGACCACTGTGTGTGAAACATTTACAAAACCCTTTTGGTCTCTCCCTGAGTGCTCAGATTATAAAATGCACAGTCACATAATTCAGATAAATGTGTGATCCTTGGGTTATTTTGTCTGATCAATCTCAGGCTTTAATGGTTGTTCTGGTGCTTTTATTTTGGTCTGTTGTTTGTATTTTAAATTCCTCCTTTGAATGAAATTAAATTGACTATATCAGGTTAAAGTAAAGAGAGAGGTAAGCACAGGGTCATACATTTTGCCATCCCTTGAATATTGATGAAGGAACTAAAGAAGAGGAACTCCTATCATAACCTTTCTACAACTGAGGACAGTAAAACTCAGGAAAGCCAGGTGACTTGAGCCGGATAATAGTGTCTGGTTCGAGCCTCAAACTCTCAGCAACTGTGCTTAGCTGGAAGAGTAATGATGCCTTGCAGTGGGAGAGGAAGAAAAACAGAAGAGCGTCATGGAGCTTAGGTAGGAAAATTTGGTTTTGTGGAAGAAATGCTAAGGAAATCAATGATAGCTCTCAATTAAGCCTGTATCACCCTCTTGCATCCAGAGGCTCTAGAAATTGCCTGTTCAGGAGGCCCATTTGGCGGGGTATTT